TGATGAACAAAAATGTTTTAAATTTGATGAATTAGAAGTTATCACTTTTTTCTTTTATGGTTCATGCTTTTTATTTCCTCTAGAAGAACTCTGCCTGGCCAGATGCAGTGGCTCATGCCTGTAATCCCAACACTTTAGAAGCCAAAGTGAATGGATCACTTGAGGTCAGGAGTTCGATTCCAGCCTGGCCAACATGATAAAAATCTGTCTCTACTAAAAGTACAAAAATTAGCCAGGCATGGTGGTGCACACCTGTAATCCAAGCTTTTCAGGAGGCTGAGGCAGGAGAACCACTTGAACCTGGGAGGCAGAGGTTGCAGTGATCCAAGATCGTACCATGGCACTCTAGCCTGGGCAACAGAGTGAGACTCCATCTCAAAAAAAAAAAACAAAAACAAAACAACAATAAAAAAAAACTCTGCCTACTCAAAAGTAATGAAGATGTTCTCTTATATTTTATTCTAGAAGTTCAATAATTTTAGTCTTTATGTTAGGTTTATATTCTATCTCAAATTATTTGTGTGACTGATGTGTAGTTAGGGTTGGGATTAATTTTTGAAAACACTTTCCTTTCCCCCACTGACTTACCTTAGCATCTCTGTTGAAAATCAATTGGAAATATAGGTACAGATCTATTTCTAGACTTTCTGTTTTGTTCCATTGATCTACTTACTTGTCCTTGTACTAATACTACATTGTCTTAACTACTATGTCTTAATTAGTCTTGAAATCAGGTAATATGAATCTTCCAACTTTGTTATTGTTTTTCAAGTTTGTTTTGGCTTTTTTTAGTCCTTCACATTTCCATATAAATTTTAAAATAAACTTGCCACTCTCTATTTTAAAAGCCTGCTGGGATTCTGATTGGGCACAACTGACATTTTAATAATATTCAACCTTATAACCCATGATGTATATTTCTGTATTTGTGGTATATGTCTCCATTTACTTAAGTCTTAATTCTTCTTAGCAAAGTTTTATAATTTTTAGTGTACAGGTCTTGTAAATCTTCTGTTAAAAGTTTTTTTCTAAATATTTTATATTTTTGAGGCAATTTCCTGAGATGATTATAAGACAAATTTTGGTACAACAGTCATATGCACCTAAAATCTAAGGCTTGTTCTAAAAAAAATACCTTTGAGTTCTCAGTTAGATATTATGGGGTTGGGGCACAAAGGTTAATACAAACACACACACATGCCCACGCACACACACACATGCACATGCAAACGCGCGTGTGTGCGCGCACACACACAAACACACACACACACACATAGATGATTCTATAGGGATGTTGTAAGGCAGCATGTAAATAGGTATTAGTTCACCATAGAGAAAACAAGAAATGATAGTGAGTGGTAGGAGGCACAGCAGAGATTCTGGGGTGTTGCAACATTCTATTTCCTGTTCTGGAGTAATAGGTGTGTTTAACTTGAGAAAATTCAACAAGGAATATTTTAAAAATCTGTACCCTTTTCTGTTTGCATTTTTATAATACAGTTATAAATTTTTAAATCCTTTTTATATTTTTTTAATTTTTATACAAATTTATATTTTTAAATTTTTATCTAATTTTAAAATTTTTATATTTTTCAATAATTTTATAATACAAATTTTAAATGAATTAAAATAATTTTTTAAAATCTCAGGAGCTAATTCATGCATTTGGTGCCAGCTTTAGAGTCATGAGAAGGTGGTTGGTGTGAGAGAGGCTTGTCACCATGTTATTGTCCTGTAGCGAATTGAGCTGTAATTCCTTGCAGGGAGTGATAATATTTTATGTGTCATTGAAACACAGCCAAGGAAATACCCTGTGCAAGGATTCTGGGGCTAGAATACTTTAAAGGGAGGAAAAAAAAAAGGAAAATATAAGAGAAAAGAAAGACATATGAGCTGGAGTGGAATAGAAAGATCCAGGGAGTATGTGAGAGAATGATTGATATAAGCCTTGTTCCCTACCAGCATCAATTGAAAAAAATACTGAGATTTATGCTTTTCTTACATTCACCCTGGAAGTAAGACAGCATGAAGTGACATTAAGACCGTATATTTTGGCCTGGCGCGGTGGCTCAAGCCTGTAATCCCAGCACTTTGGGAGGCCGAGGCGGGTGGATCACAAGGTCGAGAGATCGAGACCATCCTGGTCAACATGATGAAACCCCGTCTCTACTAAAAATACAAAAAACTAGCTGGGCATGGTGGCACGTGCCTGTAATCCCAGCTACTTAGGAGGCTGAGGCAGGAGAATTGCCTGAACCCAGGAGGCGGAGGTTGCGGTGAGCCGAGATCGCGCCATTGCACTCCAGCCTGGGTAAGAAGAGCGAAACTCCATCTCAAAAAAAAAAAAAAAAAAAAAAAAAAGAGACTATATATTTATAATGTAAATGCAATTGTAAAGTATTAGTATTAACATGCACTGGATACCCTAAGACATTTATTCTCAGCCTGATTCTTACTGAAATTAGAGTTAATGTATATTCTCCATGCTTCTGTGTCATTTTGTTTATTCTTCAAGTATTGCTACTCATCACACTATATTAAAGTTACTTCATTGTCTCCTTCACTTTTCTGACACCTCCTAGAAAACAAGGACATTGTTTTATTCCTCTCCAAACTGCCAAAGCACAGCATATCTTTGAACCTTTGCGGAATTGCTCAATAAATGCTTGTTGAATTAAATGAATGCCTTTTAAGATGATCCTGCACATGGAATTCTCAATTATTTATGAATTTATAGGAGCATGAAATCTGCTCCTGTAAAATGTAAATGCTGCTGTTTGCTTAATTCTAATTTATTGTTTAATTTGATCACCAAAATCAATTTTTAATGTGAATTTATTAGTTCATCTGTGTATCCTAACAACCCTGCATGGAATAGAAGGGCAGTATTAAAATAACAATCTTACAGATGAAGAGGCTATGCTTATAACATAAAAACAATTTACTAGAGCTCATACAGGTAATGTCAGAACCAGATCTGGAATCTAGTTTTGATTTTTTCACTCAGGTAGTTTTCTCTAAACAACTACATCACCTATGGCAACAAAAGCCATTCTATAAATTATCCTGGGGAGTTTTAACTCCCAGGTTTTCTGGATATAATTTGGTTTCTTTCTTTTTTCTTTTTCTTTTTCTTTTTCTTTTTTTTTTGACAATGTCTCACTCCGTCACCCAGGCTGGAGTGCAGTGACTCAAATCTTGGCTCACTACAACCTCCGTCTCCCAGGTTCAAGCAATTCTCATGCCTTAGCCTACCAAGTAGCTGAGACCACAGGCACATGCCACCATGCTTGGCTAATTTTTGTATTTTTAGTAGTGATGGGGTTTCACCATGTTGACCAGGCTGGACCCAAACTTCTGGCCTCAAGTGATCCTCCCACCTTGGTCTCCCAAAGTGCTGGTTTTACAGGCATGAGCTACCGCACCCGGCCTAACTTGGTGCCTTGCCACCTTCTTTAGACAGCCCATTCTTCTCCCTATTCTCACCTTCAGCTCACCTGTCTTCACTTCCCTCCCTCAGATTACAGAGAAGAAAGGCTATTTCTTCTGTCTTTTTCTTTCTTTCTTTTTTTTTTTTTTTTTTTTTCTGAGACAAAGTCTTGCTCCCCAGGCTGGAGTGCAGTGGAATGATCATGGCTCACTGAAACCTCTGCTTCCCAGGTTCAAGCGATTCTCCTGCCTCAGCCTCCCAAGTAGCTGGGACTACAGGCATGTGCTACCACGCCCAGCTAATTTTTTTGTATTTTTAGTAAAGACAGGGTGTCACAGTGTTAGCCGGGATAGTCTTGATCTCCTGAACTCATGATCTGCCCACCTCAGCTTCCCAAAGTGCTGGGATTACAAGTGTGAGCCACCGTATCCAGCTGAAGAAAGGCTATTTAATATTGGCATACTATTGTGTCTATCTGCAAATTCATTTCAGCATTCCTTATCCCCTATATATGTACAGTTCTCGAATACCTCTTTCGAATCAGTTGAAACTGGTTTTTACTATAATCTCACTAATTCTCTCATTAACCAGTTCAATACATTCTTTGACATGTGTTCACTGTATACTTGTAGAAGCATCAAGATTTTACATTTTCTGAGAATTATTCTTCAATAATGAATGTTTTTGCAATAACATATGAATAAAGGCAACTTCAGGGAATGATGCAATTTTTGCTGATCTGCAATTCACAGCCTAAGTAAAAATTTTGTTCTCTCTGCAAATCGTACTTCAAGACCTAACTAATAAGTTCAAGGACCTGTCTTTCTGTGCCCCAGTGGAAGAAACAATTTCAGTCAGATGTGATAGATAACATAGACACAGAGAAATGACTTGAAAAACTCTTCCAATGTTCCCTGAGAGACTCAGAATACAGAAAGAGTTGTCTCAAGCCTAGATAGAAAAGACAGATATGAAGAGTCTCCTCCTCTTCCCCTGTCTTCCTTCATGCCCTCCATTTTCAAGGAACTGAGATTTGAAGAATCCTATTCCTATCAATTGGCAACTTTATAATCTCTTATATTCGAACCACAGCAGGTGAGAAGAGAGAGTTGGAAAAGAAACTAAATTATCACAGGCCCTAAACACTTTTTAAAAGACATTGCTCTGGGCCAGGTGTGGTGGCTCATGCCTGTAATCCCAGTACTTTGGGAGGCTGAGTTGAGTGGATGAATTGAGGTCAGGAGTTTAAGAGCAGCCTGGCCAACATGGTGAAACTCTGTGTCTACTAAAAATACAAAAAATTAGCCAGGCATGGTGGCTAGGCGCCTGTAATCCCAGCTACTCGGGAGGCTGAGGCAGGAGAACCACTTGAACCAAGGAGTCGGAGGTTTCAATGAGCTGAGATGGCGCCACTGCACCCCAGCCTGGCAACAGAGTGAGACTCCTTCTCAAAAAAAAAAAAAAAAAAAAAAAAAAAGACATTGCTCTAAATTCTGTAAGTGTCAGTCATTGTCATCATCATGATTATCTTTATCCTAATTTTTAATCACTTATAAAACTTGTCACAAACCTCCAGTTTTCAGCCTGGTATGTAGAAGGATGGGCTTTGGAGCAGGTAGGTGAGGGATCCAACCCTCTCCTTCCAGCTTTGTCACAGGCTTTGTCTCACAATCTCTGGAGTTTTGTCTCTTTATCTGTAAAAAAACAAAGCCATGGCTGTTGAGGATATTAACTGACATATGTCTAAGATAACATATACAGAAGCTCTGTGGGAACTATTAGCTTTATAAAAGTGTCCGTTGCTGGACTTGTCTCTCAGTTTCCTTATCTCTAATGGAAATTATAATGGAACGTACCTAATAGGGTTCTTGTGAACTCCAAATGTATTTAATAAATGCAAGAACAGCTCCTGACACGGTTAGTGCTTAACAAATGTGAGCTATTGTTATTATTAATGTGTGCTCCACGAGAGGGCGTGCCGGACGTCAAACACCTTGTCATCCCCCAAAGAGCCTAGCACCGTGCACCTAGCAGGTGCTCACTACATCTTTGGGGGATGATTTATAAAAGGAAAAGTGTTCTAACCTCAGCCTCCACTGCAGGGGACGTCCGAGTGTAGCACGTTCGTTCGTAGGCGGAACCCAAAGCTCCGGACGCTGCGACGCCGGAGCCTCTAGGCCACCGGACACGGGCGCCGGAAGTGGCGAAGGCGGGGTCCGCGACGGCGGCCGCCGCGCTGCCTGGTGAAATCGTAGGCCGGCGAAGATGCTGCTGGAGTTGTCTGAGGAGCATAAGGAGCACCTGGCCTTCCTGCCTCAAGTGGACAGCGCGGGTCAGGGGGCACGGGGGCGGCGGTCTGTGGGCTGGGGAGGAGGTCCGAAGGCAGAGCCCGGCACTCAACAGCCTCTGAATTTCATTGCAGTGGTCGCCGAGTTTGGGAGGATTGCTGTGGAATTCCTGAGGCGCGGCGCGAACCCCAAAATCTACGAAGGCGCCGCCAGTAAGAGGGGGAAGGGGACGGCTTCGCAGGCTGCTAGGATAGTGCGAGCCATTCTCTGTCTCCCGGGAGAGAAGGGGATTATGGCGATTCCTAGAGCCTTGTTCCCATTGTAGTAGAATAAAACCAGCAGAGCTCTTCAGTCAGGGTGCAAGTCCTGCCTGTCACTTAAGTAGCTGTGAGATTGTTAAAGCTTCTATTAAATCAGTTTTCTCATGGTAAAATATACATAATACCACCTCACTTTCAGAAATACTGAAAAGAAGGTGGTATACATAGACCAAAGTGTGTGGAATAGCTGGTTCAGCTGTGAATAAGCAAGTATTTGGTTATCGTTATTAATTGTTCAGATATCCGCTTTTGCTAAAGTGTTTTCCCCCTGGATAAGAAGAGGCAGTCTCTGGGATTAAGTCAATCCCTGTCCAGGTCCTCTTCTACCAAACTTGAAGGAGCTGCATTCAAGAGAAGGGCCACGCACCTGATATTAGCCTCCACAGTTTGCGTTTTGTTATGGTGGGAAATACCAAAGGCATTTGGCTGGGGGGTGGAGTGAGAAGGAGCAGGAGCCCCTGGCCAACTTACTGTTTTTCATGCAGTGTTTGAAAACATGTAATAATGGATAGTGTTTATTTTTACATACAAATATGAACAAGGTAAATACCACAGTAGTAATTTATTTGCTCGTTTTTGGTTTTCTTTCTCAGGAAAACTCAATGTGAGTAGTGACACTGTCCAGCATGGTGTGGAAGGATTAACGTATCTCCTCACTGAGAGCTCAAAGCTCATGGTAAGGGTTTCTCTGGACTCTTTTGTATTGCCTAGATCCTTAAGAAAGGTCTAGGGTACTCTACATCAAAGTTCTGGCAGGTACCTGTGTATTTTAATAATGTTGTTAATGGTTTATAATTGAGTTTTTGAAGACATACCTAAAAAATAAAAATCATATAACATCATCTGCTGACATGACTACCTCTTGCTAGTATAAATAGCTAGTACAGAAGTACCTCTAATTCTGCATGTTGTTAAACCATATATATATCCTAAGAAGAGAGAGAATATTAATATTTTGTTTGCATATCAGAATATCTGGCTTAATGAAGAATAAGAAAGGAAACTGGGCATCTTAATTATTTCCATTTTATACTTTAATAAAGTATTTTTATGTATCAGTAACTCAGATTTTGGCATGGTGGGCAATGCTTATCTTTAAGGAATACTGTTTATTTTACTAGACAGAATACATTAGAAGATATCATTCTTTTGTGTATGTCAGGTATTTTAGCTAGACAAAGATAAATTTGATGTTCTTTTAAACTCAATTTACTTAGATTTCTGAACTGGATTTTCAAGACTCTGTTTTTGTTCTGGGATTCTCTGAAGAATTAAACAAATTGTTGCTTCAGCTTTATCTGGACAACAGAAAAGAGATCAGAACTATTCTCAGTGGATTGGCACCTAGTCTTCCCAGTTACCATAACCTTGAATGGCGACTAGATGTACAGGTATAGCATTTTAAAAATTAACATAGAATATAAGAATTAATTTAGGTTTGCATCCTGTTTATTGTATTCCTCACCAGCTTAACTAAGATCCCTTTTGAAACTTTGTTTTTTTAACTTTCATTTTTAGGCCATTTCTTGTATTTTCAGCGTGTTCAAATCAGTTTAATTTGCAAAATTTATAAGAAATTGGTTATTTTTGAAAAGGAATTGATTATGCAGATTTTTTAGGTGGTGCCTAGATGTTTAAAACCTTTTCTGTTTGAATATAACAGATGTGGAAAAGCGCACAGGTCAGTGTACCGCTCAGTGAATTATCACATGGTGCATTTAACTATGACTCCCACCCCAAAAGCGTCTTCCTTGCCTCCTTGCAATTACTACCCCTTCCCTCCTTTTCAAAGGTGACCAGCATCCTGACTTCTAACACAAATTACCTTTACCTGCTTTTTAACTTTGTATATATGGAATGGCTCAGTAAATGTTCTTTTGTACCTGACTTCTCTCACATATTATTTTTTGTGAGATTCATCTTTCAGTTGTTTTTAAAGTCATATAAATAAACAAAAGGGTATATTCAGATCATTGCATATAGTCTTTTATTAAGCAGAGAGAGATGAGTTAGTAGATGTGTACTGAATGGCATCTATTTGCTGATTAGAGCTGTGCTAAATGTTTTCAGACACAAAAGAAGTGTAAGATACTTTGTCAGCTGGAAAAGATGTTATCACCTTGGTTAGGGATATTAGGCATTCTCAAAATAACTAATAATTAAAGGTCTTTATAAAATAAGGTTATTGATGGGGAGAAAAGAATATAATTATACAAATGAAGATGACAGCTGTTTCAAAAAAAATACGTGTAGTTGTGTATATGTGCTGGCATTATTCAAGAAAGCTTCCAGCAAAAGGAAGTGAAATTTCAGAAAGATGAATGAATAGAGAAAATTAGGGTAAATATTCTTAGCAGATAAGGCAGAATATGTTGTAAAGGCCCACATTGATATGGAAATGAGTATATGAATATGTGGTACAGTGCACTAGTTTTCAAATTTGACTACATACTGGAATAACCTGGGGAGCTTTATAAAAGTCCTGATGTTTATGTGTAATACCCAGAGATTCTGATTTATTGGTACAGAGTTTGGCCTGACCATCAGGATTTTTTAAAGCTGCTTTTCACCTAGGTAATTCTAATGTGCAATACAGTTTGGAAACCACTGTTTTAGTGGATTCTTCTGATTCAAATAGAGGTAATGTCCAAATAGGTTATAGAAATTCGGTTAAAGGGATTTAGGCCTGATGTAGCAGACAACAGGAAGCCCTTGTAGACATTTGGATAAGAGAGTAACATTAAGGCCAGGTGCGGTGGCTCACAGCTGTAATCACAGCACTTTGAGAGGCCGAAGCAGGTGGATCGCCTGAGGTCAGAAGTTTGAGACCAGCCTGGCCAACATGGTGAAACCCGATCTCTACTAAAAATATAAAAATTAGCCAGGCTTGCTGGCACACGCCTGTAGTCCCAGCCACTTGGGAGGCTGAGGCAGGAGAATTGCTTGAGCCCAGGAGGCAGAGGTTGCAGTGAGCCAAGATTGTGCCATTGCATTCCAGCCTGGGTGACAGAGCGCGACTCCATCTCAAAAAAGAAAAAAGAAAAAAGAAAGAGAGAGTAACATTAAAAAACAATCACTTAGGAAAATTAATCTAGCATCTTCGGGCAGAGCTGAATGGAAGTGGGAATTCAAAATATGAAGAGCATTAGGCCTTTACACATTATTTTTCCTGTATATGAAATGCTTTTTCTACTTTGCTGCTACCTATTGACTCTACTTGTTCTTATCCTTTTAAGTCTCAGTTTAAATCAGGGCTCAACAAACTATGGCCTGTGGGCCAAATCTGGCTTGCTACCTATTTCTGTAAATAAAGTTTTATTGGGACACAGTCATACTCCTTTGTTTATGTGTTATTTATGGCTGCTTTCAAAGTACAAGGGCAGAGTTGAATAGTTGTACCAGAAACAGTATGATCTGCAAAGCCTAAAATATTATCTGGCTCTTTATAGAAAAGATTTGCTGATCTGTGCTCTAAATGATATCTTCCTCTTGGAGGAATGCCCCCTGCCACTAGTTAAATCTTGGTGGCATTTGTGTTTTCTTTTCATGGCACTGTGCTTCCTCTTTTGGCAAGTCATCTCAGTTAAACGTACCTGATTTTTTGTTGTTTGTATTTGTTTGTTTTACTAAACTGTAAACACTGGGATAGCAGGGACCATGCATATCTTATATATTCTCTTTTTCTAAGTCTCAACATCTCTATGCTCCACATGCTTAACTGTTTGTTTGTTTTTTTTTTTTTTTTGAGACGAAGTTTTGCTCTTGTTACCCAGGCTGGAGTGCAATGGCGCGATCTCGGCTCACCGCAACCTCTGCCTCCTGGGTTCAGGCAATTCGCCTGCCTCAGCCTTCTGAGTAGCTGGGATTTTAGGCACGTGCCACCATGCCCAGCTAATTTTTTGTATTTTTAGTAGAGACGGGGTTTCACCATGTTGACCAGGATAGTCTCAATCTCTTGACTTCATGATCCACCCGCCTCGGCCTCCCAAAGTGCTGGGATTACAGGCTTGAGCCACCGCGCCCGGCAATATGCTTAACTGTTGACCTTGCTTCCAGCTTGACTAAGAAAAGAGAAGCAATCAGAAAGAACTCCCACAAGCACCAATTACCACATCTCTCAGCCTGTATTAGGACCCACTTGCTCTGCCTTCTCTCCCGTTTCTCTTGTTGAAGTGCCTGTGCTCTTATCTACAGGCAGCCTTTTCCCTTGTATACCTCAGTCCAACCCCATTTACCCTCATGAGGACAGAGTTCTAGCAATTATTCCCTCTCTTACCTGCATCATACTTTGTTTACCTCTATTGAATCATTCCCTTCTTCACATACTCAGAAACCCAGTCTTAACGTCATGTACTCCTCCTACTGCCAGTCCATTATTTTGCTCCTCTTTATACTAAGACTTTTATTTTTTAAAGATAGCATCTCTCTTTGTTGCCCAAGCTAGAATGCAATGGTGGGATCTTGGCTCACTGCAACTGGGTTCAAGCGATTCTCCTGTCTCAGCCTCCTAAGTAATTGGGATTACAGGT